TAAAACTTGGACTAACATAGCCAATAAGCAGCCTTACTTTTTTTTGCTGGTTCCTCTATTAAACTTAATTTTACTTTCAATAATAATGTATCGTACATAATATATGATGTGTAACATATGTGTACATATATGTGTGTACACATTATATATATGTGTGTGTGTATATGTTATACACACACACACACACATATAATTTTCCTGGTCCTATTGCTTACTTTTTTCATAGGCAGTTTTGCCCTTGAACTAAAATGTCTCAAAGGCTTTTGAACTACACTCAAATATATCTCAACGTAGCTAATTTTGTAGTTACTGGGAAAGATTAATACTTAGATGATTAGATAAAGAAAATGTGGTACATATATACAATGGAATTTTACTCAGCCATAAGAAAAGATGAAATACTGCTATTTGTGACAACATGGACAGACCTTGAATGTATTTTCATACCATTATGACTTCAAAGTGTGACTTCTTAGGAAACTGTCCTTAGCAACCTTTCTGCTTTGTTTAATATAAATGTGTGAACCCTGATGCAGTTTGGAATTGTTACAACTATAGTTTAAAAATATGGAGAAGACCCCTGAAATAGATGAATCAGACTCGATGGTAGCAACTCTGTTTTTTGACAGTGTTCATACCTGTAGATAATAGTATCGACTTTCTTCCAACCCACCGAGGAATTAGCTGTATACTATAGCTAATGGTAAACAGATAAAGTCTTTGGAGAGGGACTTTTCTGTATTTTAGCTCTTTTGGCAGAAGGTGAAGGAAACTCCACATTCTCATGAGAAAACAGATCCAGGTCTAGGATATTTTTACATCCTAGATCTAGAGGATGTCTAAAGCTCAAGGTCTAGATTTTCTTACAATCTCCTTTCCTGGATGATAATGGACAGTGCTAGAACATGCCATGGGGCATAGTTTTCCTAAGTATAGATAGAAAAAGACTGAGGAACAATTGAATACAGTAGATAATCATTTTTTTTAAAAATTTATTTTTAATTATAGTTGACACCCAATATTATATTAGTTTCAGGTGTATAATATAATGATTCAACATCTTTATACCTTATGAAGTGATCACCTCAATAAGTCTAGTAATTATCTGTCACTGTACATAGTTATTACAATATTATTGACTATATTCCCTATGCTGTACATGACATCTCTGTGACTTATTTTAAATTAAAGTTTATTGGGGTGACAATTGTTAGCAAAGTTATATAGGTTTCAGGTGCACAATTTTGTAATACATCATTTATATATCACAGTGTGTGTTCACCAGCCAGAGTCAGTTCTCCTTCCATCGTCATATATTTGATCCCTTTTATACCTGGAAATTTGTACTTCTTCACTTCCTTCCCCTTTTCTAGTTTCTACTTTTTATCTTCTAAGTTCAAACAATTGTGAGTTTTTATGCGAGAGAAAGTAGTGTTGTTTATGGTCCAAAAAAAAATTCTACTTAAATCTGATATTTTCTCATTTTCATTATTTCTCTTTTCAATTAACAAGAAGCTTACTAGGGATAGTCCCTGGTCACTTCATCATGGTATACATCTTTTCCGTTGTATCAACTTTTACCTTCCCAAATCAAGTCTATTGTAGTCTTTTCTTAAAATTCCTTCCTATGACTTCCATTTCTCCATTGTATACTATAGGCTTTATATGATAAAGTACAAACACCATTGTGGTCAAAGACTTTCAGTTAATACCAAATCAACCTTTTACATTTTAATTCTTCTTCATGACTCTTCAGAACATTACACTGTCTTGGGTGATCAAAAGTTCTCCCTATGTAATAACTACTGCTCATTTCCACCTTCCTTCCACTTTCCCTCTATTACCATGTCCTCCATGGTGGTCTTCTCTATGAACCAACTAGATAAAATCTTTATATCTCTTATATTTTCATATCAGTGTGTTCTCCTATTATAACATGCACATTTCCCCCTTTGATTTAGTGTTTCTACCTTTCCCATTTTTTCCTAATTTTTTACTGTTGTAGAATACACATAACATACAATTTATTATCTTAACCTTTTTTAAATGTACAGTTCAGTAGTATTAAATACACTCATATTGTTGAACAACCATAACCACCATCGATCTCCAGAACTTTTTTATTTTGCAAAAACTGAAACTCTGCACCTATTAAACTCCCCATGACCCATCCCCTGGCAGCTATCATTTTACTTTTTATTTTATTTTTTTCCCTTTTCCCCCATGCTGTAGCCTCTGGTAACCACTGTTCTATTCTTTGTTACTATGAGTTTGGCTTTTTTTTTTTTTAAGATTACACATAAAACAGAGATCATACAATATATTTTTAAATTAAAAAAATTACAGTTGGCATTCAATATTATATTAGTTTCAGATGTGCAAGATAGTGATTAGACATTTGTATAACTTATGAAGTGATTCCCTGATAAGTCTATTACTCACCTGGCATCACACATACTTATTATAATATTATTGACTATATTCCTTATGCTGTACTTTATATCCTTGTGACTGTTTTGTAACTGCCAATTTGCACTTCATTATCCCTTCACATTTTCACCCAGCTCCCCAACCCTCCTCCCATCTTGCAACCATCAATTTGTTCTCTGTATGAGGTCATGAAATATTTGTTTTTATGTGACTGGGTTATATGTCACTTAGCATAATGTCTTCAGGTTTATCCATGTTGTTGCAATGGCAGAATTTCCTTCTTTCTTAATGCTGAATCATATGCCATTGCATATATAGACCACCTTTTCTTTACCTCTATTGAATTTTTCAGTTCAGTTATTATATTTTTAAGCTCCAGAGTTTCTGTTTTGCTCATTTTTATAATAACTATTTCTTTGTTAGACTTCTCATTTTGGTCATGTAGTTTTCCTGATTGCATTTAGCTGTCTGTTTTCTCTTGCAGTGCACTGAACTTCTTAAAGATGATTATTTTGAATTCTTTGTCAAACAGCTCATGGATCACCATTTTTTTAAGATTAGTTATTGGAGCTTTATTAGTTACCTTTGTTGGTTTCATGTTTGTCTGATTCTTTGTGATCTATGTAGCTTTGAGTTGGTATGTGCATTTGAAAGAACAGACACCTCTTCCAATTTTTTTACTGTTTTGGCAGGTAAGGTCCTTCTCTCACTGAGTCCCTGGACTGACAGAACTACCTATGATATGAGATCATGGTTGAGTAGAGCTGGAACAAAATCTTATGGCTATCACCTGGTCTGCAGTCAGGTCCACAGTTTTCAGGCCTGTTACCAGGGTTACAGGTGGATGTGGCTTCCACTAGGTCCCTGAGTGTGCTCCCATTGGGTCACTGGGATGGTCCCTATTTGGGCAGAACTGCCTCTGATCTGAGGTACAGTGGGACTGGAATCAGGTCATGGGACTGCTTTAGGGATCATAGCCAGGTCTGGTGTTGGTGTGCCTATTTTAGAAGGCATAGATGGGCATGGCACCTCCTGGATTCCTTGGCAGAAGCAGTTAGTGGCAGGACTACATCCAAGTGGGATTGGAGCTGAGTTCACAGGGGCCAGGGATGCTTCCAGTGTGCAGGCAGGACCACAGTCACAGGCCTGCCATTGGTGCGTGGGCTTGCCTTCTCAAAGCAGCTCTTCTCGGTCACGGGCTCTACTTGGGTTTTACAACATCTTACCTGGATCTCAAAGGTCCCACAAAAGCATTTTTGTCCATTGATGGCTGACAAATATTTGTTTCTGTGGGGGGACATGGGATGGAGAAACAATAAAAACTAACATATTCACAAATTTTTATAATCATCAATTTAATTTCACATATAATTTTCATTTGTTTCACAAGCATTTTTAAACTCTAAGAAAAAAGGGTCATCACAGATGACATAATATTAAATGTATCAGTTCAAGAATGAAAGTGTGCAATATCAGGGTAAGGCTTATAAAAAACTTCATAGAATCAGAAACTTGAGATTATAGAAAGGAAAAAAAACCCCCCAAAACCCAAACAAACCCCAAACTAGTCTAATTCCCATATTTTGCTTATTTTTAGGAAGTACTTTATTATTTGTAGAAGAGTTTTGTGTTACACTTAATTCTTGTCATTGGCCATGTGATCTCTAGTTAAACATCTCTAGAAAGAAACCTTGGTACTGCCTAAAAGAGATCTAGATCCCCACACAGTTTTAACAGTGGATTAAAGTTCTCCTTGAAATTTATTCTTATATGGCTTATTTTATGCCAGGGATTGACAGAGAATATAATTGCAAGTACACGTTCAGACACACACAAACACAAATGCCTCCAACAGTTATAGGCAATACCACACACACACACACACACACACACACACACACACACACATGCATATACACACACACATGTGTATGTATATACATATACTGGGGGTGCCAAAAAATGTATTAATATACCAGCAGACACTTTGATCAATGTTGCCTGACAGTATTTTGCCATAATCAGAAGTGTCTGAACGCTGAAGGTAACCACTTTGAGCACCTCTTATAATTGCAAAAGTCAAATGTGACTTGTATTCATCTTTTGTTATTGGTATATATTGAGTATTAACATTTTAATAGTTTCTTTCTTAAAATGTGTACACATTTTTTAGCACCCTCTGTATATATGGATATACATATATATACATATATATGTTGGAGAACAGTTACTGTCAATATTATGTATTGGAGGTGCCAAAAAATGTGTACACATGGCTTATATTAATTTTTTTGTTATTGGTATATATTGAGTATTACAATTTTAATACAGTTTTTTCCTTCCTTAAAATTTGTATACATTTTTTGGCACCCTCTGCATGTATGTGTATATGCATATATATATATACATGCATATACACATATATGTATATGTACACACATATATACATATAAATAATTCACAATTAATTTTGATGAAAAAAATTCTTTATTAATTTTATCACAAATCTCAGCCTTCTCAAACTTTATACCTTCATAACTGGAATGCATTACCTCTCATTCAATCTTTTTTTAACAAAAAGACTGTACCCGCTCCTGGATCTGCTTGGTCCTGATCCCATAAATGACTGGGTTGAGGGCAGGGGGGATGACTACATAGAGATTAGCTAGAAGGATGTGGACATACTGGGGAATGCCATGACCAAAGCGATGAGTGAGGAAGGAGAAGAGAGCTGGACCAAAGAAGGCTAAATGACACAGATATGGGAGCTACAGGTATTTAGCGCCTTCAAGCGGGCATCTTGGGAAGGAAGGTGGAAGACAGTATATAAGATCCTAGCATAGGAGATAAAGATAAGAAGCACATCTAGAAACAAAATAGAAATATTCCCAAGACCATAGTAGACATTGGCACTAATGCTGGCACAAGCCAGTAGTGCCACTCCCATGTGCTCACAATAGGTATGAGGGATGATTCTATGTCCACAGTAAGGTAGCCTCAGGAGGAGGAAAATGCTAAGAACAATCATACATAAGCTTCTGAGAACTACTATCACAGCAACCACACCAGTGACTCTGTTGGTGAGGATCATGCTATATCTGAGGGGGTTACAAATAGCCACATAACGATCAAAGCCCATAACAAGAAGTACAATGCTGTCCATGACTGTAAAAAAGTGGATAAAAAAGACTTGAGCAGCACAGCACCCAAAACACAGCTCCTGGAGGCTGAACCAGAAGATACCCAGCATCTTGGGGATGGTAGCAGTGGAGAGACTCAGGATAATCACTGACAGCATGGCCAGAAAATAGAACATGGGTTGGTGAAGGCTATGATCAGTCCAGACAACAAAGAGAATGATGACATTTCCAAGAAGAGCAATGAGATACACTACACAGAAAGGAAAGCCAAGCCAGATTTGTGCAACTTCCAGCCCTGGAATCCCCAGCAGCAGGAGTGAAGAAGGGTGAGACTCCGTGACATTGGGAGAAGACATTCTTCTGCAGGCTGATGGTGGCATGGTTTTTAAAAGTTGTTGCTGGTTTCCATTGGAGAATTCATCCACTGTTAACTAGGATCTACAAAAATTAAAACCATCCCAAAATGAAGGATTGATATTAGGAATAAAATTCTCTAAAGACCTTTGATTCTTTTCTCCTTTTCAGCTCTCTGTACAATCTCAGTATCACTCCTTACCTACACCATAGAAACTAACACTGTGTCTCTCTTAAAATTATGGACTCAGAGTAATTACCCTAATTTTCCTCTTCCTCAAGAAATAAATGCTATTAGGAGACAATAAAATTGATATTAATAATAACCACCACAATAATGATAGTTGTCATTAATTGGGTACCTACTATTTTTCAGACATTATTGTTATTATTATTTGTATATGTTGTCTCATTTAGTTCTCTTAGTTTTACAATTCTATGTGAAATTAGGCTTTGTGACACTGATCTGGACCAGTCTTTGCAAACTTGTTAGTGGAAATAGTGAAAGGAGGGAGAAAGAAAAATAAAGGATGGGGAAGAATAAAATGACCTAGAATAGCCAAAACTACCTAGAAGCCAAGAGCAAAAGCCAAGACCTTTTCTCTGGGCAGTGCCAAGTTCTTTACTACACATCTACTCATTCAGTTCCAAATATATTTTTTACGCTTGCAATAGCTATGGTTTTCACCTCATGCTTCATCTTAGGCCATGACATCAATTGTAAATTCAGGTGTCCCAGTAATCAATTTTGAATTTAGATGAATCCCTCTGAAGCATGAAGCATGGATAGAGACCAACAGCAGATTACCACATTGTATCACATATATATATCAGTGTATAGATGCAGCCAGTCTAAGCACAAGCGAGTTCTAACTCATTATCCTGTCCTACTTGCCAACTATGGCTCTTTTTTTACTTTGTGGTTCACTCACTATCAAGCAGTATGTGTTGGAAAAAAAATTAATAACACATTATTTTATATTACTTGCATTGTGGCATGGAATGGGGTCCTGGTTCTGTTCTTACTGGCCCTGTGACCTTAGGTGAGTTACATCATGTTCTGTGCTTAAGTTTTATCTAGAAATAAGCATAGTACTATCTACCTCATGTTGTTGTTGGGTGGGATAAATGAGGTTATATGTGTGAAATATTGAAGGTGCCCAGTAGATACTTTCTCTCCAATTTCTTCTCATCATAGTCCTCCCGCTACTTCCCCCCAGACAACTGATCTGTGCCATTTTATTTCCTATCCCAATACTGTAGGTCTTAACGCAATTTCTGTGAATCTAAATTTTAATCTTAAGTGCACATTGTGTAGACTCACTGATCACAAATACTTACCTTGTGTTTAGTCTTAGGGTGTTATATAGCAACTGTGAATTTAGTTATTAAAATTTTACACACACACACACACACACACACACACACACACACATACACATACACATATGGTTTAGAACAGAGCCTCAATATGCCTGAGAGGCATTAACAAATGTCTTTGTGTGTATGTGTTTGGGGAGAATTTGTAATTAAGTCTCCAGGTGCCAGAGAATCTAAGGCATTGAAATTAAGTGAATAGAAATCCCCTTTGGTCATCCCACTGGAGCAGATGTAGGGAAATCTCAGTGAATCTTGCTGCCTGCTACTTGGTCAATTTTCAGTTCTTATTTCACATAATATTGTGAAATAAAATGTGACAGGTCACATTTTGTCTTTTTCTCTCCTTTCTTCTTTCTTATCTTTCTCTTTGTTAGTCTATGAATTGCTTGGACTAATTCTTTGGGCTCTGTTGGGCACTTATATAACCAGTAACTTGTTTTTATTGTGGTAAGATATACATAACATAAAATTTACCATATTAACCATTTTTTTAACAGGAGAAAATAAAAATTTTAATACATGCACATGGGGAATTCACACAGCATGAAAATTCCAGAGACATTGAGACAATATAAAGTTTAAAACTCAGTATCCCTTAGCACATTCACAGTATTGTGCAACTATCACCAATGTCTAGTTCCATAACATTTTCATCACTCCAAAAGGAAACCCCATTTCCATTTAAGCAGTCACTCCTTATTCTTCTCTACTTCCAGCCCCTGGAAACCGCTACTCTGATTTCTGCCTCTACAATTTTCTATATGAATTTATTCTAGATATTTCAAATAAATGGAATCATATGTATGAAGTCGGACAATTAAGTTTGTGAACTCATCCTAGAAAAAGTGCTACATACCTCATTGCTGAGTATTCCTATAGTCACCTTTGAAGTACTCCCCTTGGGAAGTTATGCACTAATGCCAGTGCCTGGTCTACCCTTCAAAGCAATTTTGGAACTCTTTTTCTGGAATGGCCAACAGAGCTGTAGTCATATTATCCTTGATGTCCTGAATGTCATCAAAATGTCTTCCTTTCAATATTTCCTTTATCTTCGGGTAAAGAAAGAAGTCATTAGGGGCCAGATCATGTGGATAGGGAGGGTTTTCTAATACAGTAGTTTGTTTATTGGCTAAAAAATCCCTCACAGACAGTGCCATGTGAATTGGTGCATTATTGTGATGCAAGAGCCATGAATTGTTGGCAAAAAGTTCAGGTCACCTAACTTTTTCATGCAGCCTTTTCAGCACTTCCAAATAGTAAAGTTGGTTAACTATTTGTCTAGTTGGTACAAATTCATAATGAATAATCCCTCTAATGTCAAAAAAGGTTAGCAACATCTTGGCAACAAGTTCGTGAACTTAGTTTTCAGAACTCATATGTGTGTGTCCTTTTGTGCCTAGCTTCGTTCGCTTGGCATAATGTTTTAAGTTGTATCCTTGCTGTAGCAGATATAAGTACTTTTTTATGGCTAAACAATATTCTATTGTATGGGTATACCATTTTTGTTTATATGTCAATTGGTGGATACTTGGGTTGTTTCCATACTTTGGCTATTGTCAATAGTGCTGCTGTGAACTTTCTTGTACAAGATTTGTTTGAACGCTTGTTTCTAATTCTTTTAGGTATATGACCCAGAAGTGGAATTTTGGGGGTCATATGATAATTCTACACTTAACTTTTTGAGGAAGTTTTCCACAGTGGCTGCATCAATGTACCTTTCCACCACCAATATAGGAGGACTCCCATTTTTCCACAGCCTCTCTAATACTTGTTATTTCCTGTTATTATTAATTGGATGCTACTGGGTGCCAAGTGGTATCTAACTAAGTTTTTTATTTACATTTCTCTAATATCTAATGATGTAAGCATTTTTTTTCATGGGTACCTTGACCTTTTGTACATCTTTTTAAATTAAGTGCATTGAGGTGACATTAGTTACATAAGTTTCAAGTGTACAATATTATGATACATCATCTGTATATTGCACTGTGCTCATCACTCAAAGTTTTTTCTCCTTCTTTTACCATATATTTGATCCCCTTTACCCTTTTCAACCTCTTTCCTTTTTGGTAACCACCATACCGTTGTCTGTGTCAATGAGTTATTTTGTTTGTTTGTTTGGCTCATTCATTGTTGCTTTCTGTTTTATATCCCACAAAAGAGTGAAATCATGTGATTTTTCTCCGTTTGTACATCTTTAAAGTAATGTCTATTCAAGTTCTTTGCCCATTTTTTGGTTGAGTTGTTTATCTATAAATAGTTGAGTTGTAAGTTTTCTTCATTTGTTCTGGAAACTAGGCCCTTATCAGGTGTATGATTTTCAAATTATCTTCCGTTGTATGTCTTAACACTCTCTTGATAGTGTCGCTTGATTCACAAAAGTTTTTAATTCTGATGAAGTTCAGTTCATGTGTTTTTCTTTTATTGCTTTGCTTTTATTGATCAATTTAAGAAATCACTGACAAATTTGACGTCATGAAGTTTTACCCTTGTGTTTTATTCTAAGAGTTTTTTTTTTGGTTACTATATTTAGCTATTTGATCCATTTTGAGTTATTTTTTGTATATGGTGTGAGTTAAGGACAGTCTTTATTTTTTTATGTGGAAATCATGATGTCCCAGTACTATTTTGAGGATGCTATTCTTCTGTGGCATCTTTGTCAAAAATCAATTGACCGTAAACATATGGGATTATTTCTCAAGTCACAATCTTATTTAATTCATCTGTATGTCTATCTTTATGCCACCACCCTTTTTTGAACACTGTATCTTTGTAATGCATTTTGAAATGAGGAGGTTCTAGTTCTCCAACTTTGTTTTTATTTTAAATATTGTTTTGCTTATTCAGGGTCCCTTGTTATTTCATATGAATTTTAGAATTAGCTTTCCCTTTTCTATATAAAAGGACATTGGAGTTTTGATAGGGATTGCATCGAGTATACAGATCAATGGAGAGAATTGCTATCTTAACAGCATTGAGTTTTCTAATCCATGAATACAGGACGACTTTCTATTTTTTTAGGATTTTAAATTTTTCCTTCAGCAGTGTTTTGCAGCCTTTAGTAGATAAGTCTTGTGCTTACTTGGTTAAATTTATTCCTAAATGTTTCATTATTTTTGATGCTATTGTAAAAGAGATTGTTTTCTCAATTTCCTTTTCAGGTTGATTATTTTTTATATATAGAAATACAACTGATTTCTGTATGTTGATCTTATACTGTGTAACTTTGCTGAATTTATTAGTTCTAACAGATTCTTTTTGTGGATTTTTTACAGTTTTCTCCATATAAAATTGTGTCATCTACAAATAGAAATAGTTTATGTCTTTCTTTCTGATTTGAATGACTTTTTCTGGCTAAAACTTCCAATACAATTTTAAATAGTAGTGATGAAAGCAGACATCCTTGTCTTGCAGTGATCTTAGGGAGAAAGTTTTCAGACTTTAACCATTAGGTATGATATGAATTGTATTTTTTTCCTTATAAATGCCCACATCATGTTGAGGAAGACAATATAGTTTTCTTATATTCCTAGTTTGTTGAGTGTTTTTATCATGAAAGGGTGCTAGATTTTGGGCACCCTTTTAGGCATTTTGGACATTTTTCAAATGTCCTTTTAGTATC